TCCTGAAAACCAATATTGTATTCGGAATCCCCATGCTCGATTACCCCCCTGTGCCAACTCCCAGCCCCGTAGGTGAACTCAGCAAAAAAATCGATAAAAATCGATAAAATCGATATCGATCGATGACGAAAAGTAGCCTATGACACCCGCCGGAGCCCGTAGTGTATGTGTACCAAGTTTGGTCCGGATCGGTTCAGAAATGGAATTTTCTATTCGGAACATACGTACAGACATACAGACAGACAGACATACATACAAACAGACATTCAGCTTTATATATAAGATTTATCCTCGTAGCATTCATTTGGAGAGCAGAAAGTGAGGACAAAAAAGCAGTTGGTTCTTGAAGCACATAAAATTTTTCATATCTTGCGGCACAGAAGACCTAGAAAAAAGTCGACGGTCACGTCGATTCCCCATGATCTCAGCTTTCGAATGGTATACAGCATGTTAGGGCTTCTTTGCTTCCCGACTCTAAAAATCATTTGCTCCGGTAACCGATAAAAGCCAACACATTGTATAGGTCGTCCCGAAAGTTCTTGCGCACGATTTTCAAAAATTTATAACTTTTGATTTTTCCAACCGATTTGACTGCTTCTATTTTCGTATGAAATAGTAAGTCATGTTTTTTATAATGACATCTTATCTGCTTACTAATGATCATCTGTTGCATAGATAGGAGCGATAGAAGAAAATTGGTCAAAATTTGAATTTTCTGTGTAGGATCATGAAAAATCGGAGACTTGCAACAAAAATCGGAGCAGTCAGTATTGTAGGTTCTTTCACCAGCTCTTTCTAACAGTGCAGAGTTTGCGCTGATTGAGCGTCCTATGAAAAGTTATGACTTCCCTGAAAAATGCCAAAATAAATCAAATTCGCCCTTTTGTATTGCTTGCTCAAAAATCATAACTTTTCACAGAGGCGCTCAATCGGCGCAAACTTTGCACTGTTAGAAATAGCTGGTAAAAGAACCTACAATACTGACTGCTCCGATTTTTGTTGCAAGTCTCCGATTTTTCATGACCCTACACAGAAAATTCAAATTTTGACCAATTTTCTTCTATCGCTCCTATCTATGCAACAGATGACCATTAGTAAGCAGATAAGATGTCATTATAAAAAACATGACTTACTATTTCATACGAAAACAGAAGCAGTCAAATCGGTTGGAAAAATCAGAAGTTATGAATTTTTGAAAATCGTGCACAAAAACTTTCGGGACGACCTAATAAGAGCGAGGTGGAGCAAGTTAATAGCAAAAAATCTGCTGTGGATTGGCATCGTTATCAGCACTGGCGGGAACGTGAGCGAACGCGTTTATTTAAGCGTGCTTATCGTTTTATATGTTTATGTTTTTTTGGTAAAAAATGCGCTTTTTAACAGTTATGCCATTATTATTAGCACACACTCAAAAACTAAGGGAGATTGGTGAATTTCCACACCTTCACACAAACCCGCCCATTTCTGGAATCTATACTCTGTAAACCTAGTGCTGAAGAAGGTCACTTTCGTGAAAACGCTCTCGACTCACCTTACCTAATTTGTAGAGAATGGTTGGTTTCAATGAATCAAAAACTTTAAGACATTCAGAAGAATAACATGCTATTAAAATATCCCTCAATGTTTTGTAAAGGGTGGCAGTTTGAAAAGGAAACGGCAGGCAGAATACTTTACAAAATCGCAGATGACTCGCATGTGTTCCAGTTCAATAGCGAGGCAGAAGGAGAATCTTACGCCGACCAAAATGTTGTCGACATTGATACAGAGTTGACAATTGAGCGAAACTCTCTATTTCGTACATCAGAAATCCAAGCAGATTGCCTAATTTCAATGAGGAAATGTCCAGGAAGTCCATTGCTGATCTTCAGGTTGCTGAAGATTTGAAGGTTCTAAATTCACAAACATGGATATGAACAAAAGGAAGGTGTTAGTACAGCATAGCTACTGCTCTTAGATCCCGACTGGAGTGCGAACCAAACTCTGTGCATTATGCTTTTGGAAGTTATTCGCTTTGTGACATTATGACCTATGATATTGAAAAACCAACGCGCAGCATAGTATCTACTTTTTTTCGGCTATTCCGCAGATGCTGTTAGAGAAGAAGTTGAGCAGCTTTCTCATCAGCTATTAGGACGTATGCCGGAGGAGGTGAAGCCAGAGTTCGACAAGGCCCAAAAAAGTATGCAATATTTCCTTCCCGTGTTGCGAAAGCATATGCGATCTGGCTCTTTCCCCATTACTTACCGCAAAAATCTGATGGACTTACTAGCAAAGCTAGTTTCCATTCCGACTAGCACGGCAGAGGTGGAGAGAGCATTTTCTATCTACTCTGTTATCAGAACACAACGCAGAAGTCGCACAACGGTGGAGCATCTAAGCAATTACTTAAGGTTGTCAACCTTCTACTAAACATACTGTTATCTAAAAATTCTCAAAGGATTGCTATAAGTGGTCCAGACAGGATGTCACCGTATGACTTCTTGAAATATCCTAAAAGATGGTATGAAGAGAATGGTCGCCTACCTCTGACTTTCCTGGTGCTACCAGAGGGCAAAAAAAAATCACAAAAGCGCTTAGAGAAGAAGAACCTTTCAAATCCATTTTCGACTTAGAACGCTTTTTCACGCAATTCTACTTCTATTCCGATGACCTTTTAGAGGAAGAAGAAAATTTTTCAGGCAGCGAACTTGTTGTCTCTGACGTTAGCGGTAGTGATATTGTTGATGATGATGTGCAGGAATTGAAGTTGTTCCTAGCTTGTACATCTTTTGGCATAAACCTTATTGCCTTCGTTTTTTGTTGATGCAATGAAACAGGAGCACAGATCTTCATAGAGTCAATTTTTTGAAATTTTTTATATTTTCTCAATTTGTGCCTAAATAAGGTACAAATTAGAGCTCTTCATACCACGCTTTTTTACCTTTTCTCTCTTCCTCCCCCCCCCCCCCCCCCGGCTCACATATCCCCTTCACCTGGAAGGTCGGAAACAGCCGAGACCCCCTTCATCTGGGGAGAGCCCGGCTCCCCCTATCGCACCTATGCCGCCAGTTTGAGCCGCCTTTCGCGGCTAACTGGTCCTTTCGCAACGTTGTTGCATGTCGTTCCAGGACCAGCAGTCCGCGCAGGCGACCGAAGCTGGCGGCTTTTGTTCCCCCACCCACCACCATCTAGCCTCAATTAGGTCACGAAGCCCCGCCTTGCCGCCAAGGCAGTTGAATAGGGTACATGCGATCATCCAATGTTGCTGAATTTGGCACTCATAACCTAACCCCTGTAACTATTAATCGAATCTTACAAAGATTGGAAGACGATTTTTGTGAGATGTAAATTACTGAATCTATTGTGTTGGGTTGATAAACAAGTCTTGCGCCTAAAAAGTACAGAGATTCGTTTCGGGAAATCAAAAAACTGATTTATATACCGCATACTGTTTGTTTATGCATAATCAATGTGTTGTTTAGTAAAACATATCAGAGAAATGATTTTAGGCAGAACCGTGAGTCAGACAATTTCGACAACTGTGATTATCCGTAGAGGTAATCCATCATCACTGTTCTCTCTCCGGTGAAAAGAATAGGTAAGGAATGGGACCAAAATAAATTAAATTGATTGTACAGTCTCGGTTAGACGCATTCACGACAAGGCAGATTTTTCGATTACTGCCGTTTTGGACTAAAGCCTTTTTCGCCTTGTCCACTTAACCCACCCGTGGGTCGTATTGTCCAAAACGGTAGTCTTTTTAGGAAAAATCCAAAACATGTCTCCGACAATTTCCCCCCAGTAGGGTTATCAAAGGCGCTGATTATCAAAATATGATTTGTTTCAGTTTTGGCCTTATATAGTAAGGTTACGGTGGCATTCTGTACGAACCTAACATCATGCATTTTTGTGAAAATTTGTGATTTGGGGTTATTTCACGTGCTGATCACGATTAAAATGTCCACTTTGTTCACTACTGTCACAGTGCGGCTGCGGTTGCAGTACAACGCTATTTTCATAAAAATCAAGAAACTTATGTAAGAAGGCGTTATTAGAAGTTGCGATCATTTCGTAATCCGCACGTTACAGATCCTCTATATAAAAGATTGCCTCCTAAAATGAAAAGTGTAAAAAATCAATAAAATCAATAGAGCTGATCATTTTTTGATGGGCTAGCATCAGTCTCTTGCCCGCCCCGTATATCTCGTGCATGTACACTTGAATTTTCGGAAACAACATCAATTGAAATGGCAGAACACGTACGACCCACCGGTGAGTCGTATTGTCGTGAGTTAAGCGTATTAGCGTGTACAGCCGTTAATACTGACATTAACGTTTCCTTTAAGCACCAGTAAAATGTACATGTTTGCTTCTCTAAGACATACTGATAATATTGTTACTAATTTACAAAAATTCTGGTGCAAGATCCATGTACCAGCCTGTATTTCACTCAGACAGAGATTCTCAAAGCCAAATTTTCATCCACTTTGTAACATGCAATCAAGAAGAGATGCTCGAAACTACGTTCTATAAAAGGGTCGGTTATCTCAAACCCTCGATTCAAGTTTTTAGTTCATTTCGACGTGAAGTTAATTACAGAAACGAGTCAAGAACTGAGCAGCTTTTGTAAAGTCTGATATCTTTCCCAAAGTGCAAAAGTAACTAAAAGTAACTTTCAGCTCTTTTAGCGGAATCAAGATAAAAGCGTTGAAAGCAGCAAAGTAATTTCCTCAAGCGCAGCACTCCCTTCGAAAAAGGCTGCAACGCGTTGCAGGTTTTCTCAGCTTTCAACTGGATTTAGCTTTTTTCTGTATGCTGCATGAATACGCACGCAAGGACGCAGCAAGGACGTCTAGCGGAAGTTCCGGACGAGTTTCCCAATCCAGCACATTCACAGCACTTTCGATTTCGCTCCATGACTCTATTTATAGTAAACAACATCAGTTTCAAAGGTTTATTTCCCCAAAAACTTCGAACGCTCTAGGCAGCTTGCCTGACAGAAATACTAGGACAAATCTGGTACAACATCATAATACAATGTGACACTTACCCATTTCATAGACGTAAAAAAATATAATTATCACTAGGGCAGGGGAACAGGAAAAATTGCTTTTCGACGACGGTCTCTATGCTAGAATTTTGTTTTCTTTTGCACGTATAAAGTAGTAGACTAGGTACACAACAAGGTACAGCGATGGACTATGTTAACTTAAACATTTACATCACATTTATGATCTACAGTAAGTTTTCGTTAAGACAGCCAGGGTTTGATGACTTGTATTGATTTAGGAAGCAAAGCTCATGGTTACGAGACCAGCAGGTATACGGTAGGAAGAAGGGATTGCTTGTGATTATAATGGAGAAACACAGAAACAAGCTAGAAGAGATCGAACGGCGTCCAAGACGCCTTACCCGCTTCGATGATGTGAACGCGCGCTGGGTCCTACCGGACGTAGCTGCGGACTTTACGCGATTTTTAGTGGGGAAGCTGATGGATGGTGGCAATCACAGACTCCTTGTAGACTTTCGAAAGACCTTTCTGCCAGAATGTCAGCACATCACGATCCTGAAGAAAAAAAATTTCGGTGGGTAAAAGAATGAAGGGTCCAAAATGTGGGTACTCGGGTTTTTATAACAAAGTGAGTGGAAGGTGTTGATTAATCTCCTTTTCTAATAAGAGCTAATAAGAACTCCTATGGTTCATTCGTTGCCGAACCGAGTGGACTCTGAACTCTTGCCCAACTCAGTACTCTTCCCCGATCGACCAATCACCGTCCTTCACTACGGTACTGGGCAACAGTTCAAAGTCAAATTCCTCAAACATAAATGAATTTTACGGGGTTCCGTTTTGCCAATGGCATACTCAAGGCCTCTCCTCAGTATTCATATACAAGGTACAAGCACGCAAATATGCGAAAACTTCAAGTAACTTGGCTTACCTGCTCAGAACATCCTCTTACAATTTGGAAAACGTTGCTAATGTTCAGAGTCGGTGTAATTTCTTTTTGACGCGATATCTGGTAGATCAGTTTCGCTTTCGACACCCAATGTTCCCGAGTAGAACGTAGAGTCGCTTCAAGTACCGTGTCATAGACCTCGTTGTCTAAAAAATGAGACTCATTTGTGAATCGTACTAGGACCAGTGTCCAGCAAATCTGTGCACCTGATTTTTTGAGCGAATTTCGATAGGGAGCTATCAAGAATGCTACTGCTCAAGCGGCAGCTCATCAGAATCATTCGTAGATAAGAAATTCGACTCTGAGCTCTCGCCCAGTACCGTAGTCGAGGACGCTGATCAGTCTGAGTACGGTACCGGGATAGAGTTTTCAGCTGATTTATCCTGTCACTTGGGCAACAGCGTAGTCTGAGTCAATAAGACCGCACATAAGAAGCCCATATACTCAGATTTGCTGTATAGCACTTTCAAATCTACAAACTTTCACTTACCCAACAAAAGTTGCCTATATCGATCCAATAACTTTGGATGCCGAGTGTTCGGAGCTGGCCGCCGTCTAACTTCGATACTACACGATTCTAGGGACCCGTTTAAGGCAAATGATGGGTCATCAGCGCGAATGCGAAGCACAAGGACGTTCGCATCGAGAGGGATGTCGATGTCTAGTGCACCACCAAGGAGGTTGTACCTGGAAATAGAAGATTTATCAGATAGCAGATTTTTAGATTAACTTATAAGCTTTGCTTTTGACCATAAAAAATATGAATTTTTGAAGAGCCATCTTCAATGAGCTTTTTTCTTTGAAGAAAACGACATGCATTGGAAGCTCTTCGTGATAATGTCATATTTCACTGAATATTGTACGTCGCACATATTTTTAGCCTGGGAAACCTATAAAACGGTGAAGGAAATAGTCGCATAACCTCCCTTGTTTGATCTTACATGCTGCAAGATGACGATAATCACTATGTGTGAATTTTGCTTTATAAGCACAACTTCCGCGTCTACACTATTACGCAAACGGAGCTACTCTGCACATCAATCAAGGAGATTACCAATTTGGCTTCGTTGTGTTTATAGCTCGTTTGCTAAGGTAGGTTTCCCAGAGGTTAACGATCAAATGAGACTATTCTCCTAAGTTTCCATTACCGCAAACACATATCAAAGGGAAAGCATCGGTGAACAAAATTAAAAATTTTAAAAATTAAGATTAACTTAAAATTTGTGAATGTGTTTATACGATGTCCATTCTTTTCAAATAATTAGAGAAATCCAGAGAAACTGATATAATTACCTAATTTCTGTCTAGCATTCTGTCGAAGCGGAAACTGCACAATTCACTCGTTCCGTTCATAATTTGTACAAATAATACTAATATTGGATACCAAAAATGAAATAATTGGTCAGCGGTAAAACACCAATATTTTACCGCTAATCAATTATTCCAATAGGTTTAATCTTGAATATTCTGAGGCGATCATATGAACTTCAATGTTCAAAATCACCGCAAGTAGAAAAAAGTCGTAATTATGAGCAACAAGGGTAAACGGTCGATATCACCAACATAGAAAATATCTTGGATCTCATACATTCTTTCTCAAGAATAGAGAGTTTGAAACCGCGATTCTATCCAGGAAAAGCCGTACGCAAGATGTGTCGCAGAATTTTCGTTCAAATCGAGGCTGTAATCCCTCCCCTCCGCCAAAGCCGCGCATCCCTTGCCAATTTGCTGCCCAGCTCATTTCTTGAATGTATGTGTTGGGCTTTGGCTTCTGCTCGAGCAGATGCTTTTTAGATTAACCGAGCGCAACACAACGCATATCGACAAATCATCAGTTGAGTCAGTGACCGTTAAACACAATCTGCATGCTAATTCGTGCAGTATCACGCAAGACTCATTAAGATTAGATTGCAAGATAACATTCTGCAATTACACGAGACAAAGCTCATTTACCGTAATCCAGAACTCGCAATGGTCGCCCCCCTTTCGTCTCTCTTATTATCTCTCTTCAAACTAAGTCAACGCTGCAAAGACCAAGACCCCGACTGCTGCGGTGAGATTGGCCATTATTCTCTGCAAACTCTCATCTTTGGTCTGTCCTCTTTTAGCAGACACAAGTGGCAACGCGCGCGGCGGTGAAAGCCCCGACGTAGACCTCGCCGCTGCGCAAAAACATAACAATGGATGGACGAGAAGGTATTCCCCTAAGAATCAATGCAACAGGTTTCGAATTTTGAATTGCATACTCAAAACAGAGGAGGATACGATTTTTAGCTACATTTTCCTGAGCTAAAGCAATATTTTTTTGACGCGTCTAGACAGATAGATTCCTTTGCTAATGTGTGCAATTGCACAATGGGGTCGGCGCTGTGGCCCTGATATTGTTTTTCCTTTTGTAATTTCTTGGTAAATTTCCTACTGCTTGAGGATAATCGCGTTTGAGGAAACGTCAATCATATGTTTTGTCTGTGGGGTCGACGTTCCATCGCCAACATTCTAGACATTGTGCAGCTGCACACCTTGGCAAAAATCTCAAATGTGCCCGGACTTGTTTTCTGATTGAGAAGCTTTAGCTAAGCCATTATCCAAAGGGCAGCTCATATGATTCATTCGTTGCTGAGCAACTCCACTCTCAACTCCAGCCCAGACAGTAACTCTCGAACCGACCAATCAGCGTCGTCAAGCAGGATATACGGTATGGGCTGAAATTGAGAGTCGCTTCTCGATCCCGAAGAGATAATGTGAGCTGCCACTTAGACAATGGTTTGATTGAGGTATTCCAAACATTCCTTGCAGAAGAAAACCAAGCATACAAATTTGGTTGGACATTTACTTTGCATTCTGACCAACCACAGAAAGAACTACTAATGTTCTTACTTTGACTAATCTAGTTTTCAAAAAACAGAGATAAAAGGAAGCTGAATATTGGTATTGTGCCATGTAGTGACTTGCAGACACTTGCAGACACAGTAAAAATGTGCTCCAAAACGGGTTTCAATGCTCCTAGGCGATTATTAAGAGTAAGACAGCATGAGATCCAAAGAAGACCGTACTACTTTTCTATTTTTTGTCTTGTGTTTAGGACTAAGACGGTACTGGAGTTTTCGTACTTTATTATTTTTTGATTTTTCTGCGCAACCCTTATGTCAAGCTTCACAACCGACTATAAGAACGATTCTCCCATATTTATGCGGACACCCCAACAAATCACAGATTCCGGACCAAACGACACAATCGTTAGATCGAAGTATCGCATGGCTACATCGATGTGTGCAATATTACCACGCACATTTGCAGTCGACCGTAACATGCGCCGTGCGCCGCGCGTCGATGACCGCAGCCGAACCAGTTATTCAGCCAACCAGACAACGACTCGGCGCTACATCACATTAATGCGTAGAAAGCGCAATAAAAGCAAAAAACTTTTGGGGAATACCGCGAATTGTCGTCATATTGTGAATGTTGTAAAAAGTTATGGTATATCAGATGAAAAACGAGAAAGTGCGGACTTACTTAGATTCATAGGTGTCGCTATAGGTTAACACTTTCAGACACCCAATAGGTAGAAGGTTCGACAATGCCAGAATCAGCTGCTTGGCCAAAAGTCGATCAGGACTCTCCACAACCAGCTGAAATCATAAATTCTAGTGTTGACCACTGATTTATATTATTTCGGAAATAAAATCGAGTAATTAGTGTTTTGATATGAGTACTGCACACTATGCGTGGTACATGACGACTTGTAAGAATAGCACCTGCACATTCCAATAAATTCTCCTTATTTATTTGTCTCATTGATTCGATTTGATTTGTGTTAGTTAGTAGTACACACTAATGTAGTTTGATATAGCAGAAACGGTTTTATGGAGGAGTTACTAAAGAATGTCGTCAATTACCGCGTGTAGTGTGCAAACTCACATATCAATTTACAAACGGCTCGAGGATTCGTTAGCAAAATTCTGACACTTTTTCCTCCACTCTGGATAACACGATATTTATGGTAGCTTCATCAGCCCCTTGGAGAATTCAACGCTAATCTCGCCTGTCAAAAATTCCCACAATAAAGTTTACGAAGCCCTTCAACAATTTCTCATGTAAAGCCCTCTTTTACATCTTGTACTTTCTCTCTCAGTATCCGTTTTATACAGCATTTCGAATCTTTCAGTGGCTTTCGTACCATCCTGTAACACCATACAATCCATCAAGACAAGCCTTCGGAAAAAAAAAACGACGCATTTGGTTAGCATCGGCAACATGACGCACATTCTATGGACACTTTGAGCCCATGATTGTTGTTGGTAATAAAACCCGCTCACAAAACTATACTAATCCACTTTTGTGTGTCATTCGGATACGGTAATTGGGTAATGAAACTTGTCCACATCAATACGGACAAGCTCATAAATCACCACAACGACTGACGGCACTTCGGCCGGAACTAATTGCTGCCTATCGAGGACGACAAAAACGCGGGTGAGGACGAAAACGACCTCTGATTGCTACTTTACTGAGTGAAACTAGTATAAAATCTCGATTACACAAATTACGGGTTCAGCTGTAATCTTCGCGAACCTTGTGATTCTTAAGATTCCCGTTATCCGTGAAGCACGATTAGTTCCATCTTAACGATACAGGACCAGGGTCCAGCGCAGATCGTATGGAAGCGAGCTGGACTTCAATTTTGGGGCGACAAAGCAAAGGGGATATCGTTTATTGGGTCAAAAAGGGAACGCAAAGATACGACGTTTTATTAGTGGACGTTTCGTTTTTTTGTTTTTTACAGATGTGGTTTGGGGTCAAAAGGGACTTCGTAAATTTTGGCAAAAGTCAAAGGGGACTTCGTTTTCAAAAAGCCTAGACGGACTCATGCCGAGCCCTGTACGGGACTCGAATAACTTTTGAGTGTATGAGTCGTGATTATTCCCTCACCTTATTCTTTTCTCAACATTATCAATGTTTTCTAGCGTTACTGAAAGAAAAATGAGGAAAATGTCGACTCCAAGGTACTCCTCAGCGTCATTATTATTGAGCAGCCAGAAGTTTCCGCGCTCCACGGATAACGAAATTCACAGGAATCACAGAACACGGAAGGAGCATGAGCAAACCCTATTATTTGAATAATGAGCATCACACTCAGCCATCCAAATCTGATACGGTTGAAAATCCATCACCCGCGGTTGCGTTTTAAGCCATTCACACGATTCGAAGGCCGTATTTAACAAATGACGATACACAAGGGAGTGCTCAGTCGTGCTTTCTTCTGACACGGCACAAGGCAATCAAGTACTTCACACAAAGCAGCGCACCATCGCAAAACATCCTGATATTCCCAGCACACAGAGCAAAGCAAACAATCACGTTCTACAAATGGTTTTTCCTTCATTGGCTCACGCACTTCAGGCTCATAGTCGGTATAGCAATGGGGAGATTTCTGCTAGTAAGAAATGGTAATAGATAGCACTTAAACTAGGAAAAGCTGCTATAGAAAGTCAGAGATGACTAGAAGATAAATCGGCAAAAAGTATAAGAGAAACAAACGAAAAAATGTCTCTGAATCGTTCACTTTACAAAATACGAAAAGCGTACATACTCGAACCACTTCATATCCCAACGTGTGCAACTGCACCCAATACGCAACTGTCGTCCCGTCCCTCTTGTTGACCAGAAAACGCTATTTCGCTTTGTTTTCAAGTTCATTTTATTTTTTATTTTTTTCTAGGCTTTGATGGAAATATTCGAGGATTACTTAGAACTTCTAAGCAAAAGGCTAAAGAAATTTTGGATGGACGCGCGTGTGTGCAATTGCAGATTTAGGGCATTAATAGTACCCACAATCTATTCGTCGCAATTCAGCACAGAAGAAAACCATTTTTGATAAGGGTAGCCTTGCATTTGAAGAGATATAGACATAGTCGTCAATCCATATTCGAACAGTGCGATTGCACACATTCTATACATTGCGCGTCATAACCGAATTCTGCTAACCATTTTCCGTACATATTCCAAGAATTGCGATCTTCACGCTTGAATACAATCTAATTAGACGTTTTTCAAAAAGATGGCTATTTCTATGGCCTGCTTCATACAATCCCTTTATTATAGCCGTCTTTGATGCCCCCCCCCCCCCCACCCCCCGCCTTTCCCAAGCTCCTTTCAGCGAATACTCTCCTCACGACATGAGCATCCACTCCGTTCATTAATAATCTCACGAGCGTCGTTTGACAATTGACGTTTGCAATCAATTTCTGAGCCGCTTTTGGTCTCTTCGCCTTATGCTATGCATAAAACAAGAGAGTGTGTAGGGAACTCAAAGCGAAAAAAAAAGAAACAAAATCACTCCTAAAAATTCCTCTTTCCCACTCAGTAAAACTGCCAATCCCCACTAAAATTCCGCTTCAACAAACACTCAAATATCTCACATTCTTTGTTGCGCATTCGCATATCGCAATGACTCCAGCTGTGCAAACGCGCATCCAAAAGTGCTAACACCGCCGAATGATCGATGATTATGCAGAGAAAAAACTCATAATCATACATCGCGTGCACATACTTTGACAATGAAGGGAACGTCTTTGTCATCTTTGGGTAAGTAAACAATGAACGGGGGTCAAGAAAGAAAGAAGGGCCGTGAATGAGTACTCTAGTCACATATTTGATGTGAAGACAAAAAAAATCTTTTTCTACAACAAGAGAACCGTATCCGTATTTTCCTCGAGAAAATGAAGGGGGCCAAGGGATTCCAAGGTAGTATTCAGATTCTTGTGCGAACACTGATCAAGAGGTTCTAACGCTATCCAAGCGGCAGCTCAAAAAATTCAATGATGCAACAGAAAAACATCTCCAAACTCTAGCCCATACCGTCTTCCCGGACTCTGATTGGTTCATTAGAATACGGTCAAGGCTGCAGTTCGCAGTTTTCATAATCAACCTCTATATGCATAAGAAGTCCAGGTATCAAACCTGCCATCCGAAGTCCATAAAAAAACAAAATGCGACATAGGAAAATCAGGGTGAGTAAGCCGACTAGCAGGGTGATAGTTTTTCATCCTCATTCCCTATTCTCCCCCTCCCCCCACCTCTCCAAATGTTACATTACTATCTACTAACCGCACAGTGCTAGAAGTTACTGACTCCAGGCTGGAACTCTCTTTTTCCAATAGTTCCTGAATAGGTGATATAGAAAAAATTGAAGTTTGGATCTCCATTTCCAGAAATCCCTTCCCCTTCAATTTTGACTTCCAATGATATCGAGAGCACCCGCACCTTCCCCCAACTCAAAAATTTCTCTCACACCACTTTGACTATTCGCTGAATGTCAACAATCATATAAAATTTCCAGAGCGCACTTCACACAGAGCAAAACAAAAACTCATCGAGAAGATTACACAAACACTTCACTTCAAAGGCCTTTAGAAAAAGTGCAGTACAAACCGCACAGAACAAAATAACTCATTGAATCAGCGTCAAAGAATTGAAACTTTTTCTGCTTGACTTCTCGCGAATAGAAAAAAAAATCTTCTGAATTAGTGCATGAATAATACCTTTAGCAGAGAAATGGTCATTATCATGCTTGAGCAAGCATTTTTTGTAAATGATAATGAAGTCTGCTCTTGCAAGCGACAACATTGCCTTGCAAAACTGGAGAGTTAAGCAGACAAGAGAGCTGCAGCGCTGAGAGAGCAATCGAAGCGGGGACCCGTGTCCACAGGTGGCATATTTAGGGGGTCGGATGCTCATTCAATACATCATCAAAAAAGACTTATGGGTTCGGAATCGACCGCAAAATTTTCCAAGGGGTTTTCAAATAATGAAAAACTTTCTGCAATTCGGTCAACCTGATGCTAGAAGAAAATGGTTATTCGCAGGAGAAATTTCTTTCAAAAATCAAATGCGGTGTTACATGAATTAAGAAGCTGAATCGCAAATAAAGGCTGAACTGCTCTGTGCCAGCACCGTGCCATCCGGTTGACGCGCCCGGTATTGATCGATCGATTGCGTCGGCACACACAACTCAAGACGCAGCCAAATAGGTGCCGCACTGCTTTACTAATAAGCCCAAAATCACTGAGTCGAAAACAAAGAAGTAAAAAATACAAATGACCATTGCTCATCAACTGATAAACCTTTTAAAATTCTAAAACAGCCACCCTCAAATTTCGAGCAAAAAAAAAACAAATTCTCACGAAGAGCTCTATGTCCTCGATTGTGCGTGTTCAAATTAAAGAAAAGTATGCTCAGCCGTTCCAAAGATTGTACGTTGCAATACCGTAAACCATAGAAACGGTAGAAGATTGGTTGATCGCATCGTATCAATGACTCGCTAATTCGATCTTCCATTTACAAAAAAGCATTTGCAAACTGGCTTCCTACCGTAACTTATCCCGATAAGCCTACCAAAGATATGTTAATTATTTCATAATGCACTACAGGAAAATTGGCAAGAATGTTTCCTGGAAGATGAGGAGATCCAACTGATGACGGGATTTTTCATCCGCTCAGAAAGCGATATTTTTCGAATTTAAAGCTGTATGATATCGCAAAACAATCCATTGCTTTTCACTGCCTTCATGTCCCTAGTATATTCCCAGCTTTCAGCCCCCCCCGTAAAAAGCAATCATTCGCCATTCTTTTGCCAAGCGCGCTGCTACGGGGAGCGAAAACATGCCCAAATACGAATCGCTGGCCATTTTTTATCGAGGATTGAATGTGCCCCGTATGTTCGCCTCTCACACAACTTATACGCGATAGTCGATGAGATAGAGTGCGAGAAGACAAGTAAATGTATGTGTTTACTTCTTCCATAGTACACGCTGAAAGGGTACGCTTTCATTATAGCTTCGTCGTGAAACTCGTCCTTTTTGTCTGGCGATAACAATCGCCGGAGTAAGACGAGTTACGTAGGCGAAGACAACGACGGAGCCGCAAGTGCATCATCGAATGGAGCGAAATTCGAATTTGTTATTTCTGGCCTGAGCGCTTAGAAAAATTAGTCCTTTGATAAGATTCTGCTCGTATCACGTATCAGTTACCGTAATCACATTACGAGATAATCAATTATCGCGCAGAGCAGATGAGAACGGTCATCGTTATGTGTGCGTGTGTGTGAGAAACCTGTTCCGAACCTTGATATGCATCATTACCGTATCCGTGACGCTCCGAATACGGTCGCTGTTATGTAATGTTAGTGTACGTGAGTCTGTGTGTGTGTCAGTCAAGCACGCACACGGACACAAAGGCAATTTGCATCCGAGTGCATATCCATGTAAACCATGAATTAAAGACGAGGGAACGACGCGAAAGAGAGCAGCACAACGGAGGGGGGGGGGGGGAGAGAAGCAAGCTCTCCTCTCGTTGTTCATCCCTTAATCAAAAACTAGTAGGAATTTCAAACGTCGAGCGATTTTCTAACCATCTCATCCGTGCTATTCGCTCCAACTACAAAAACTACTATGTGGAGCGAGAAACCACAAAAAGAAGGCAAAAGCCAGAAAAAGAGTCAGCTCACACGAAAGAGGAAAAAACGCGCTCGGATGAAAAACATCTGCACCGATGCAACGACTGTACGATTTTTCGTGAGAAACGAGAAAAGCGTTTGTGGTGCACCGTAAACGCGTCAATCCTCCAACGTGCATGGTTCGCTGCGCAAATAGGCGACGCTAATTGACACCTATCTCACGCCAATCAACGCAACGCGCGCGTCATATCGCCCCGTTGAACGTACAGACAATCTCTGTACTGTAACCTTCGACGCGTCCATCTTCCCTCACTCATCACATTCGCGATAACCACAACCTATTCAACGCGACTGTGAGAATATAGGTCTACCATTAGGGCCACGACGACCAGAATGTTTAAGATTATGGCACAGAACAAGAGTTTACTAGGTCGAATTAGTATACAATGCGTCGGAAGTTCTGCAGTGCCATTTGGTCCTGCGGAAGTTCCGCAGAAGATACGCAGAACTTCCGCAGGACTAGTCATTGGCAAGTCAGGACGCAAAAAAACTTTTGCAAATAACCTCACAGAGAGCGTGAGCGGAGAAGAAAAAATTTCAAAGCCTGTAACAACTTCTCCCGCTACAACTTTTCCGCAAAATTTCCAAACAATTGCCGAGCCCCATTCCGCCTGCACTCTTCGCTTTTGTCCCTCCTGCAAGCGGGCGATTGTTTTCGGCTTGCAGCAAAGCTTTTTCTCCCACTTTGTTTTCGCCTTGTTATTCGAACCATCTCACTCGAGTAGGCTGTTTCTCCGCGAAACGTTTCCTGTTTTTCCAGCAATTCTAGTCCTAGGCTCTTGTGAGTGAAAAGAGCTATCAAAGCATGGAATTTTTTATAAGTAAGACATACAAAGACGATTTTTTGAGCACACGCGCAGTTCAAGTTCAACAAAAAAGAAATTTTGTTTTCTTCAGCTATTTTTCCTCAGGGCTCCCATATATAAATCCTTGGAAGTTCCGAAGGAGTTTTGCAGAACTTCCCCAGGAGCACCTGTCAGTTTTGAATCCGAGGATAAAAAAAACTTGAATTTTCGTAGAAAAACGAAACCCAACAATTCTGCTTACTGTCGCTATTTTCTCTCTCCCCCCCCCCCTTTATCTTTCAAACAGAAAAAATTCAGAAGCAGATTTACCTGTTCTCCAGTGATGATCTGTTTGATGACCAAATCCAGATCGGCCTCATTCCCCTCGTACAACAACTTCGCCGCCAATTTCAAATTCGCCAACTGTTGTAGCGTTACCTAGCAACATAACATGTTATCGGATATATTATCTTCTCTTTGAGCACGAAATGAAATGAAATGAGTCTAGCACATAGTGGAACGCAAACAAAAGGGGGCCAACGCGGGAGCCACTAACCTCATGTTGATTCGGTTGTGCCAGATCCAATTCCAAGATGTCGGCCGGTTCCATTTCCATCATCACCTGCAACATGATGACTGCGAGTGATTGACATTTCACCAGATGACATTGGAAACAAGGCTTCTCGCTCTGACAGATGTTGATGGTTCAATTTGTCAGCACATGACGGATTCATCTATCTACTACTCGGATCATTTCGCACTCTTGGTGTGCGATTTTGCAGAGAAAAAACGCTTACTGGGGGTCCGGCTGTCACTTGATGTATTAGCTATAGTCGGTAGGGATACAAAAAGATTGAGGGCAAGTTACAACAGAACGAAAGCTTAGAATGGGTATAAGCCCTTCTCCTCAAAACAAAAACTGTCACCACATGCGCAATAGCTTTGGAAACGCAAAAAGCTAATTTTAAGGTCAAAAAACAGGTCAAGAGATTGCAATAAAAAAAGAATGGTTCAGCCTCACCTATGTATTTTCAAAGTAGCGCAAAATACTCAGAATCTGGAATACTAACCTCTTCAAGTCCGAACAAACCCAGATTGCACAATTTCTGCCCCACATCCCACGCATGAAAAAAAAAACGAATTCAGTCTATGTTTGGGAAGGTAAAAGGTCACAAGCCTCGCACAAGACGTAGCCATTTCCTCATATTTTTCCAGTCTGATAGCAAACACCGCGAAATTTAACTGGTAATAATATTTGTACGTTAGCCGATTTCAATCTGTTTGATGTTTTCGATTTCTGTGACCAGTTAGGGGAATTTTTTATGCCTTCGTTAAAGACATATAGAACTTGCGCCTTATGGCTCCCCCTCAATCATCGTCGCTTCACAAAGTTATTCATAAATTCTTCCCAATTAACACAGATCATCCATACAAATCGTCGATTCAACAAATGTCCCCGAGTAAGATCGTAACTTCAAAACTTGAAACTCAAAATATGTCTGGAGACTCAATTTTGACGCATGGAAACTGTTGTGCAAAGCATAATTTCATTCTCTTCACTGCAACGCCTAACAGCATCAGCAGCTAACCAGCCAGCCACTGCGAAAGATCTCCGATTGGATTATGAGGGATAACGAAGGAGGATTGACGAAGCGACGAGGAGGAGGGAGAGCCATACGAAAGTGCGACGGGGTGAGCATGAGAAGAGGTGGGGAGAAGGGGGAGGGGGGGGGGGGGCTAACAAGGGTAGAAAAATTGGTCGAAGTGGCTTTTTCATACAAATTGTTTGTGATTCAGATGCCAGGCAGATCATTGCATGCCCTAAAAGGTAAAAGGGTTGATAACAAAAATTTAGCAAAAATTCTTAATTCACAGCAAGATCGTAAATTCACTACTGTCAGCTTACGAGGGAAGGATACTTACTTAATATGAACTAAACCATCTTGGAGAGCATGAAGCGCTGATTCCAAATCTGTATTTGCTATCTGCCAAGCGCTTCTGAGAGATAAATTACGGAATTTGGTTGAGGCAAAAATTTGAAGGCACTCCGAAGGCAAAAAAAAAAGTTTTTGTTACAATTCAGTTTTTCAAAAGAGTAGTGATAAGCGTGTGTACGTTATTCCGGATGAAGTATTCTAGGAGTATTCACTACACAGGATGTTTTGAAAGTCATTAAAGCCCCACCTGAGCACATTGAGTACAAAATCAAATGATTTTATCAAAGCCGCACCTTTACAATTGTGCCTCCAAAAAAGTCTCGTAATTCCGTTTCAGAAGAGCTTGGCATAAAGTATAGACTTGAAGTCAGCACCCCACGCTTTCCAAGACAGTAAACATTTCACAGGAAAGGCCATTTCGACCAGACTTGCAACCCTCCTTAAAGCCACAAGTAAACTTATCAATTTTACCTCAAATCAAAGATTTCTGCTATACCTTTGTCATTAACCCTTTTACCTTTTCATACAGCATGCAAACGATGTACATTTGCGTCTCTAAATCATAAACATCTCGCGATCTCATTAACGAACCTATTAGGACACACGGCCGTAACCCATCAACGGGCCACCTGTTACGTTCCGCACTCATAACGAAAGAGGAAAAACCGCCCGCCTGAGCATATGAACGACGGTAATAAGACGGACACTTGGGCTGCTGTCCATTGTACGATAAAAGGAGGCCGAATTCCGAATATCCGGGTGACCGGTCGTACATTTGCTGTCAGAGTGGGAGGGGGGGGGGGAGGAGGATTGTTTACTTAGCACATCGAGGTTTTTAGGTCAAAATTCAGCATTCAAAAAGCTTAAGCGCTCGATTTTGACCAAAAGAATAAGGTGCAGATTCCTTACGTGCTCTGAAAGGACTACCCCAGCCGTACCATATCCTATACCTACTGTAACCCCAAAATAATCGACCCATTTTGGGGGTAGGGGCTTATAAACTAAGGGCCGCATGCACTATTATCCCCGCAGGGAGGGGATCGCAGCTTGAAAGAAAGCTTTATATTTCGAAACTCCAAATACCTGGATTTCACGTTGTGTACCTATCCGTAAGTATTCCTACTACCCTTCACTATGAACATGTTGAAGAGGAGCGAGAAGCTGTACGAACTGCATTCTCCAGCTTTTGAGTGATCCCTGTGATCCCCGGCGCTTTTCTTTAAAGTCATTTTTCTTTCTCCGAAGTTAACGAAAACTTTCCAAACTTGTACTGAACATCTAACACAACAGTGCTAAGCATGTTGCTGATGAGAACAAATGAGTTTTTGAAAAGTCGAATTTTTCGGTAAACCCCAAATTTCGACCTATGGATCATCGAAAATTTCATGACTTCAAAACATCATTTGTTCTTATCAGCAACATGCTTAGCACTGTCGGGTTAGATAATCTGCACAACTTTGGAGGTTATTTGTTAACTTCGCAGAAAGAAAAATGACTTTAAAGAAAAGCGCCGGGGATCATCAGGGATCATACAAAAGCTGGAAAATGCGGTTAGTACAGCTTCTCGCTCCTCTTCAACATGTTCATAGTGAAGGGTAGTAGGAGCACTTACGGACAGGTACACAATGTGAAATCCAGGTATCTGGAGTTTCGAAATATAAAGCTTTCTTTTAAGCTGCGATCCCCTCCCCGCGGAAATAATAGTGCATGCGGCCCTAAGAGAGGTGAGGGGGGGGGAGGAGCACTGTCGACTTAGCAACTAAGATTTTCGGTGAGAATCCAGATGGAAGGTAACATCGCTTCTAAACGAAAGAAATGTGATACAGATTCATTTACGACGCGTTTTCTATGCATCATCCCAGCCTCAATGTTCCCTACCGTACACCTACCGTAACTCCAAGATGAATAACCTATCGCGCGAGATAGAAATGTGTAAAAAGTCTCGATAAAATGTGAAATCTTGCGATTTTTGGGCTGTATAGAATGAATTAGCACCTTCGTTTGTATATCAAAATGATGTTTCAAAGCAAATGCAGAAAAGCTGCGCCTCATCATGCCTCCAAATCCTTAAATCGCTTTTTCTCTAAAAGTTCATGACAATCTTCCTTCAAACTAGAAAAACTCTTTCTGCAAGTGCTGCAAGCGTGTAGGACTTGCATGCAAGAATAACCATGGGCGCATGTTTTTTCAACGACTTTTGCTGCCGCATATTTTTTGACGAAGCCAGGACAAGGAGCTCCTTACCAGCATATCCTGCGTTGGTACTCCTTCCAGAACGTGGTCACAGTACCGGAGGATCTCAGTGCGCAGCGTCCACATCATTTGCCTGAAATTTGGAAAATTAAGAAACAATATTGAGAAAAGCAACAAAATCAGCGGCTAGGATCTACATAATGAAAGTAGAGGCAACAAAAGCACAAAGGAAGATGTCCAAAGTACTCCCCCCCCCCCTCACCCCCACACCCCCTCCCCAAACATCTTCTTGTATAAATACTGAATGCAAAGCTAGTTGATGGCGCGACCTCACAACGCCAGATCGCGGAACGTAAATCTCTCACAAAGAGACTGAAGTCACTCGAGCAAACACAGGCAGCAGCTTATGGGAGTGTGAAACCGTGAATAAGTATAGTTCAACTGCAACCAGAACAGCTTTTGATATTATTAATACACGTATGCTCATGACCGTGACTAGTTTATCATAGCATACAAGAATGCTTTCATTCAAAAAGTCTCTCCCCTTAATGACAAGAATTCGCAAAGATTTTCCCCTAAAGTGCGATAAGAAGGCATGCAAATCATGTTCCCCGCTTCAAAATAACATATTCGTCTATCAAGATGCCTCACGCAAAAAGAGCTGAAAAAGTGAGTGCATCCGGGTACAGATTTAAACGTGGTGCACACGGTGTAGCACAAACGTGATACACATGGTGTAGCACCTAGTTTGAAACGGGAATCTTACAGCAGATACTCAGATCAACTCCGACAAGGTGAGTTTCCTAGAAGAAAATTCAGGTAACTTCAACAAATCACCATCTTCTGGTTTTTCGCTATAAGAGAACTATCTGACCATGTTCAAATGTTCACAAAAACCGAGTATGATGAAATCCTGTTCACAGAAGCCGTACTAGTCCAAAGCGATGCGCACAAAGTATTGCGTACATTTCACAAACAAATTCAGGTTCCTGCTTTTCATCGATAGTGTTGAGCGATATTTTGCCCCCACAGTATTAGCACAACCTCGTATCTGTTATGAAAATCACACTTGTATTGATAGAAATTTGGTGAAAACATCGATGCAATGATGGATGGAAGGAATTGATGCAGAAGTGCGCGTACACACCACACACACCTACACCTGCAGAGCACATAAGAAAGCGTCGATCTCAAAGTTAGCAAACATTCGAGCCAAACGAGTCGAGATGGAAGAGGAAAAACAACAACGACAAGGCGAGAATAAGCTTTGAGGAAGAGACGAATGTGGATGGATGAGGGATTGTCTGACAGGTTTTGGAGTATTCCTGATTGAAAGCGAATTTCAGGCGCAGCACTTTTAATGCGCAGCGCAGTGTAAGCGGAGCCTAATCGATTGCATATTTGCAGGAAAATTATACAGAAGGACGTAGCAGATCTTCCCGACTACCCCTCCCCCTCGCCTCTTCCCCAGTTCTCTCAAATACGAACTGCTTTCAGATGGACATCGAGGAAAGAGGGGCTGCAGCCCGCAAACTGACGACCGAGGAGGGTGGGCAACGGGGGGCAGAGCGCAGAGTGGTGAGAGTCGGCACCGCCCCATGCCGCACCACCCGCTGCGGGTCAGAGAGCCAGCGTAGGAAACATCGCCGAGGCTCGGATTAGCTTCAGCAGCTCGGGCGCTTGGCAAGGAAAATGTATTAATATGTGACTCGATTTGAACCAAATGCACCAAAATACATCGACAATAATGTTACAACTTCGGCCACGATCGGGTGCAAAAACGGATGCATTCGACTACAGTAAGACGTAAATCAAACCATACGCGCGATCGCGCTAACCCCTAGCAAAACAACTATCGCTAATAGATCTCGAGCACAAATAGAGCTCCATTTCATTTCTTCGCAGCCGTCAGCTCCTCCCATTAATCAACAAATAAACAATTCTATTCATATAACCATACACCACACTTTCATTGTCAGACACAGAATCCTCAGCCAAAATTAGATATTCCATCTCCGCCGCTGTACTTGGGCTCGACACAACAACCATTCTTGGCGCTTATTAGACGTAGCAGTTGGCATACTGGTAAACATCGATAATCCAGCTCTGCTAGGAAGCGTGTTTCCGACCTCCGAATAACGAGAAATCAATAAAAGTGCTAAGTGCACTTCATGTACGTATCATTCAAAGCCTTTATAAGTGGAATGGGGCATTTCGAAGCAAAGTGGGAGTGAATTTTTCGAAAGTGTTGAAAATCACAACGAAAAAAATTCAGCTATTTACAGCCCCATGAAAATCAACTAGATGAACATACTACATAAAAAGGTTGAATGCTGCTTCTTTTTCAATATTATTATTCAAATCTATCCGTTACATCACCGCTAGAGATTTCCGGTACGTTTCAAGTCATCGCGAAAAAAGGGATTATAGATTTTTCGATTTTCTTTTATCTGAAGGAAGAAATAAAAAATTGAGATAAATACACATGTTCAGGTCTCAAGTCCATAGGAAACATAGTCAAATCATATCCTCCCACAAATGATTTGATCGTACTAGACCATAATTTCTGATGCACTTTCTAGAACTCTCTTTCATTTAGCAACGGAAATAACACTTCAGCATTTTTATAAGAATAAATTTTGTCCCGAAGAGATTTAATTTAGCATGTTAGTTCAGCGATCTTCTCATTTCCTTAAATTTCATGAGCTCAAACCCTTCATACATACGAACTTCACTCATACTCATAAATACGATCCATTCGCTATACCTGCTCAAAATTACCACAACAATGAAAAAATATCCCTTTGTCAGGTAGGAGATGAAAAAACGCTACAAAACAGTTGGATCTGATAAGAGTGTGAACACACATCAGTTCTCAGGCACCCATTAAGTTCAATGATGCATTGCATATCAACAGCAATTTGTTCTCAACTGTCACATTTTGTTAGTGAGAGAATCCGTATATAAGAAGAGTAGAAGAAGCGAATCTTAAGGTGATAAAAGGAATTTTTGCACATATTTTGATAATTTGATGAAATTTTGGATGCAGCTTTCAACTGCAAATCTCGAATAGATATAGATTCCTCAACAAAAATCAGGAAATTCAAAATCCTGGGACAAGAAAACATTCGGACAAAAAAGTATGAAAAACCTTGGCGAAATCAACATCAGGCACTGAAGCTGTATAAATAAATGCTAACGCATGCTTTTTCAGAAGTGCAAATTGTGATTTTACCCATGAATTTCAAATATAAGCTTCGCAGATATCTGAAGCCGATATCGCCTCTGTAGTCTCAAAAATTCGAAAAAATTATTGAAAAAAATGCAGCTTTCAAACTAGCAAATTCAAAACCATTAACAATGAAAGGTTCCTGGTCAATAAACGTCAAGAATTCTCAACAAATCCTACCAATTTTGATGCTTTTTTGTAAGGGATAGCAGTAATATATTTACTGTACCTTAAACGTTCAGCACAACATTTCTATAGAAATGACATTATGATTGAATCAAACCCGCCAATTATTTCCATATATAAACCAAAAATCAAAGAATAGTGCAAAAAAAGCCACAGCGGTGCAGATTTTGAGCATAAACAGATATGCTAATATTAAACACCTTAATGTTGGTCCGATACGATCACTGTGCACATAGAAAGTTCAAGTCTCAACCTTTGCTAGCACAGGTCGCGACCGCACTGCACCTGCCACATCCATTATAAACCTGGCACGGTCGCACTCTATATCGCTCAAATGATAAATAGTTGAATCGATGGGTAAGAAGGATTGGCGAAAGAAGGGAAATAAAAAGCAATTTTATGCTTTGTCTTTGATGGCAAGATGGAGCCTCGAAAGCTAGAAAATGAGATTTCAAGTGCTGAAGCAAATACTCCCACTAAAAACAGCGAAAATTGAATTTGACAGAAAAGAGCTGATTGCAAGAACTCAAATGGATCGTAGGTGGGTGGGAAGGGAAACAAGGGGGGGGGGGACATGGTGTTCATATCGAACTCATTGATACCATTAGTTGTCAGTTCTGATTGTAAGCTTAAAATGTTTTTTTTTGCCCTGGTATTGACCAACAGCAATAGAAAGTATTCAGCATTCGTGTCAAAGCTATAATCGGACGAGATGATGACAAGCTAAACTTAGCCTGCGCCACAGCAGTAAACATAGAGTGCACTTTACATATAGTGCATTTTCTATAAACGGAAAGGATGAAGAATAATCATGGTCTTTTGATGTATACCTTGATCTATAACTGTAGCACTAAGCTTTGTTTCCTAGAGTTACTAATAATGATGGCCGGATGTCGGTAACCCCTTTTTGGCAATTTTTTTGAGAATAAGAGTATCACTAGAGTTTTCGATACAGCTCACGATCGAGTTCCTCCACCTAGTATTTACTACAACAGCTCGTAGCCGTTCAACACGAGTGCTCTTCGCTGCAAAACTCGTTTCTAAACCCATGCAATTGCGCAGTTAATGATCCGTTGCATAGTGATACAACGTCGTTAAGTCCTACTTCTCTTTCGCTTCAAAGAAGAAGAAGAACTGGTTGAAATTAGCTTGCCGCATCTCTTTTTTTTTACTGCTGGTGCGATAAAGCTACCGTAGTAGTCATGGCCGGATTTCAGCAAACACAAGGGGACTACGATGACAACGACTGCGAACGAAAATAGGACGTATGGCCACTTCTTTCACGGGGTGCATTGCTGCGGAGGATCGCGAGGAAAAAGTTACGATTTGATGAGCGATCATTATGTACAGCCATCGCGCGGTTTAGATCGAAAAGTTTACGAGCAAAAAACTCTGAATTTAGTGCACGCTATCACAGCTGTTCGATTGCCTCACTGTTATCGCTGGAAAAAGTTGCACGCGAAATCTGTACTAATATTAGTTTCAGAAGAAAATTGAACAGCTTGTGCTCAGTATTTTTCAGGCACCGACAAAAGTACAAGTTATGAGTCTCATGTATTCCGATTTACATTTACGTGTGTGAGCAGAGCATACGCTTTAACCAGGGCTTGCCAACATCGAATCAACTCTTTTTGCAGGAGCGAAAGTAGGTTATTCACTAGACTAGTTGAGCTTTAATCCACTTGCAAAAAATACAAGTATTTTCATAGACACCTAAT